GGGCATTGCCAGAATCTCCTCTTTTCTCCTATAGCTCAGGGATGGTTTTTCACCTCTGAAGCCCCCACCTCTAGAAGGAAGCTTGGCACACAGAAACTTTTCAGCGAAGATCTGTTGAGTAAATGAAAGAATTCCTCTTCTGAAGGATGAGTCTGGTGTGTCTAACTCTTCCTTCTTCTAGGAATTCCTTCTTAGCCCCCAAGTTCCTGGAAATGGCAGTGACAAACCACTTTTTAAAAAGCCAGGGCCACTCTGGAGGTACAGCCCTGTCTGCCTCATGCCTTCCACAAAGGTTTGTCTTTCCTTTGGGAAATAAGGGAAAAACTCTTGGCAGAGTTTACCAGACCTGGAACTCAGGTTGCTCCCTTAGGATCCATCGTGTATGTGACTTTCAGTCCCCCCAATCTGGGTGCCACCAAAGAGATGGGGGTGTGGCAGGGAACAGACACCTGGGCTTTCCGGCACAACAGAAGCGGCCCCCAGTGTCCCCAGCTACAGGACAAGAATCGTAGCGGCCACGAGTGAGTCTTTATTCTGGGCCAGGCACAGTGCTTCGGTGCTTCTCAGGAATTCTTTTATTTATTTATTTATTTATTTAGGGATTCTTTCTTTTAGAAATTGTAGCAGTTCTGTGAGTCAGGGCGGTTTTTAGCCCCATTTTATCTGTAGAGAACCTGAGATTCCAGACAGACTCAGTAACATGCCTATGCGTGGCTACATCCCCTAGACCCTCCCGAGATGTCGGCCACAGCACAGGTGGTCTGTTCCCAGGGAGCTCAGACTGGCCTCAGACACACATTGCAAATCATCTGCTTTCTGCCCTGTGACTTGTTTGACTCCAGGAATGTCATATGCGCAGGGAATCCGGAGGGCAGGATTAATATGGTGGGGAAAGGAGCTGATAGGTGGCAGTTTCAGCCCTATGGGAGGACAAATCTGGAAGGGATTCTGTACTTTCTCAGTAGGGCCATGTGGAGCCAACCCTTGTTTTCCACAGCAGGGACCTCACAATACTGACTGTGTCTCTCTTCCCCACCCTGCTCCCTCACTCCTGTGCCCCAAGATGATGTGAAAATTAAGAAACAGAAATCTCCTTTATTTATTTTTTATTTAAACAACTTTAAAATATATTTTTATTGGAGTATAGTCAGCAGGAATCTCCTTTAAAATAGAATTGAGAGGCCAGAAAGGGGAGCTCTCACACCCTACCATGCCACACCAATTGTATACCTGCTAGGAAGAGAGGTACATTTGCATCTCCCACAAGATGTTTACTACTTCAGCAGGAAGGAAGAATTTCTCCTTGCCCAGCAACAGCCCAGCCAATGACAGACTGTTGCAACTCAGCCAATGAAAAGCCACTACACTTTGAACTCCCAGTTTCCTCCAGTGGGCTCTTTGTTTGTAACAGCCCTTCCCAGCTCCCTCTTCTCCTTTATAAAAGAAGTTCCTCCCCTTTGTTCTCTGCACTTGCCTGCGGTTAGCTATAGATTGCTTGTCCAGAATTGCAATTCTTTGCTGTTTTGAAATAAACCCACTTTTGCTGGTAAAATAACTGGCTGTCTTTTTTTAAATTGTTTTAGGTCAACAATCACATCACAAAAAATTTACCTGTCTTAGGTTCTGCTTTCAGAGGAACTTGAGTGAAGACCATCACCCAGTGAGATAAGTGGCAAAGCTGGTACTTGAACTGAGGTGTATCTGATAAAGACTTTTTGGATTTGTTTTTAGGAAGTGAGAAGTCCCAGGAGAAACCCAGGGTCACTAAGAGGAGGCGAGGAGGAGGAGGCAGGTCGAGGGGATGCCACGCTCACTGTAGGCAGCTCTGTTAGATGTGGTCAGTACAAGGCTGTGCTCTCAGGCTGCTGGGAAGGGCGCAGTAACATCGGGCAGTGAAAGTAAAATCCCCTGTGGTGACACCACACTTAGATTTAGTGTGGCAGGGTTCTATGAGAAGTCACATTCTTTGGCTTTAAAGATGAACACTAAACAAAACAAACTCCCTTTATCATTCAAGGGAGTCAGCAAGTGTAAAGAAATGCTTTGGAGAAAAAAAAGAAAAAGATTCACATCCCTTCTCTCTTTTCCTTCCTAAGAATAAAGTCAAAACTCTACTCTTTAAATACTCTTCCTTGAAAATTCTGAAATTCCACACAGGACCTCATCCCTTACAATTTAACTTCTGCTCTCCCTGAGAGAACACACTTCAATCTGTTATTAGTCACCTTCGAGTGTGAATGGGTTTCTGATCCTTCTGGGAAAGCAAGTATTGATAGGGAGAGACAAGGGATTATGGACCAGAGGTGGGGGAAGGCTACCTGCCTGGGAGGCAGAGGTAGAAAAGGTTATCCCTCTTGACCCAGCTCTACCTGATTCCAGGTGTGCAAGTGTCAGTTCTGAAAGGGACTAGGAGTTTCAAAGAACCCTAGAGACCTCCCTGCTGTACTGTGAGCTTAAACTGTGCAAAAGCCAAGATTCATGATATGAAAGATAGAAGAGACAGACACAGACACAGTGCAGAGAAATGTCTCCCGCTGACTGTAGTGGACCAGTAGCGATCTGCTTGTTTTGTCATCAAAGGTCCTGTGATGACAAACAGCTTTTGGGGGGAGGGAAGACACTGTGTTCAGCTGTATCAGCTTACACCTTAGCAGGGAGACCCTGGGGTCCCATCAGATGGGGAGAGAGACTGGCAGGGAGGGACACCAGGAGGAGCCGGGTGGGCAGGGTTGCTGCTGTGGAGGACGAGAAGGCAGGTGTTCTGTGTCTCAACCATACTCTCCTGACCTGCAATTTTACTGGAATGGCCAAGAATCTAGAATCGGTAACATCTATGGCTGGAGAGTAAACAGGGATGATGGCACCGCGGTTAGAGCGCTGGGCTTCCCAGGCCAGTGGAACTGCATCTTCAGGAGAGGAATGTCTCCTCACCCACTAAGAGGAGCTTATTTCCCAGGAGTGTTCCTGTGAGTTAATTTCCAAGGCCAACATCTTTTCCTCCACAGATTCTTTTTATTGCCATGGAGACAGTCTGCTGCTCTGTCCAATGAAGAGTCTGAGCAGCAGGCACCATGACAACCTGAGGGGGTTGGAAGGACAGCTCCAAAGTACCTCACAGACCAAAGCAAGGAGAGAGGCCTGGGGAGATTGATTGTCACAAGTGTGGTTGATGAAAGGGGACAGTTTGACTCTTCACTGCCTTCTCTCTGTGAGCAGTGAGTGAGGGATGGGTGTGATGGGTGGGCCTGGGGCTGGCAGTGTGGAGGTTTGGGGCTGCCAAAGGCAATCAGCTTCATTCTTTTTCTAATTCTGTGTTTTGCTGGTCCCCGGCCAGGCCAGCTGATCTGTGCCTGGAGACAGGACGAAGCGGAGCAGGGCCGATCTGTCTAGCCCTGGGTGGGGAGTGGGGGCGGGGAGGAGAAAGCAGTACATGCCTAGGAGATGATCCATAACTAAATAAGTGCCTTTCTGCAGAAATCACCCCACCCACCCCAGGATGATGGAGACAAAGAACTTGCTGCCAAGTTGGAGCCAGCAAATCCTGATTCCCAGGGTCTCCCAATCTGGCCAATGGTGAGGTGTTTGTGGTGTGAGGCCAGAGGACTGCCACACACTGCCTGCTTGTCTCCAGGGTTTGCCTGACTCCTGCTGGAGCCTGCCAGACACAGGGGGCTCCCCAGACTTCTGTGTTTAGCCTCTGGCGGGTTACTTTGTAGGGCTGAGACAGGAGCCGTGCCCATCTCCTTCCTTCCTCCCAAGCTCTCTCTCCACTCTACCCATCCCCTGGCCCTGGCCTTCCTGACTCCCAGCCCAGTACGCTCTTACTGCTCCATGGTTGAGTTCTTCAGAGAATGAGCTTATGTCTCCACCATGGGCCTCACCCTGGAGGGCTGGGGAGCAGACTGAGATCTGCCTGTTCCTGGAGTGGCTTAGGAAAGTCACAGGCATGCCCCAAGGCCTGCTTATCCTGCTGGGGTCTACCCTTCTGAAGCCCACGTCTTAGGGGACAGCAGGAGATCTGTAAGAGGGAACTTCAGGACTAAACTCAGGACCAAATTTTGATAATAGATGCAAGTTACATGACTCCAATTGTGGAGGGTCAAGCTGTGTGGGTGACTCAGTTTTCTCACATGTAAAATGGGGATAAACTTGCAGGGCTGTTATGAGAATTAAATGAATTAACACCTCAGCCTGGTTTATGGGAGGTATTAACTATATTATGATGTCTTATTACCACGTCCTCACACAGCATGGGAACACAACCTACAGGTCAGTTACTCTCTGCGGATGCTCCCACCCCTGCCCAGCACGGGGTTTGCTTATTTCCATCAAGTCCACGGCTGAGGATCAGCCACTGCTCTGTCCTTCCACTGCATACACCTATTATCTGGAAAGTGGCAAGCCCACTCCGAGCTATTCGTCTGCATCTCCCAGGGATTCCCACCTTACATGTGGCAGCCTCCATCTTTTGCCCACCAAGCACGGATCACAAGCCTCCAAGGCCCCATCCCAGGCCCTTTATGTTCTCATATAACCAAAGGGTCAGTTCAGTGTTGACAGCTCTGATCTGACCCCTGGTGGTGGCCTTGCCTCTTTGCCCATCATCTCACCTAGAACAAGTAGACGCCTCCATTTGTCCCAGCCCTCGGCTGTCCCTGTTAGCCTGCATCTGCTAACAGGGGTTCTTTGGAACCAGTCCACGAGGAATGACTTATACAGCTCACCCAGAGTTTGTCTGCAGAAGCTCCCTCACCCTGGGTGATCACTGTTTGGTGCATCCCATCACGGTATCCACATGATGCCTTCCTCCTCTCCCCAGGGCAAAACCTGCTCTTAGGAGGCTTTGCAAACCCACTCATTCTGATGGGTAAGTGACCGTTAGAATTTAGGCACCCTGAGAGTTAGAAGACTTCCAGGTAGCCATCCGTACTGCTTAATGTGGATTAACTGCATGCTCACACCCCGATGGTGGATGCTACAGTGGATGTGGCTGTGATGTGGCTGTCACTGGTAATCACTAACAAGCATCTACTAAGTCCCAGGTAAGATATTTAGCTATAGTAGAGTACAGTGACCAGCATCGGTGCTGGATCCCTACCTCATTTGTTATGCCAAAAATTCCAGAAGGACCAAGGATTTACATGTAAATTAATGTAACTTACGTTGAGACTTATGGGCAAGGATACACTTTATAGCCCCATGTACAACAGCAAAAGACAGGAAACCTAAATGCCATCAATATGGAGTGATTAAATTAAGTTATAGTACACTCAGTTATGTAATTCTCTGTATCTCTTAAAAAGAATGGGCATAGGTTTGTAACTAAGGTAATGGAATAATCTCCATGATAAAAGTCAAATGGGAAAAACGGCAAGGTGGAGAACAATCTGTAGAGTACGCTCCTGCACGTGCAGTGCTATCGAGGGCTGTGTGCAGAGACTGCTTGCAGAAGGAAGACGGAAGATGACAACAGTGGTTGATTCTGGGAATGGGACTGTTGATTTTGGTAGGAGGATTGCCTACTTTTTATCCTTTAATGGAATTTGGGTTCTTTTTGGTCCTTACCACATGCAGGTATTTCTGAATTTAAAAAGCTTAAGAAATGAGCAAATGCTGTGGAATCAGACAGACTTGAACTGAAGTCGAATTTCTATCAATTTCTTCCCGAGTGGCCTTGAGTGTGTTACTTACCCTCGTCCAGTCTCTTCCTCTGTAGAATGGGGAGTAATAGCACCTAGCTCTTGGGTTGTGGTGAGGATTAAGGGCGGAGAGTGCCTGTGAAATTCTCAGCGCAGTGTCTGGGCAAGGCAAACCGTCAATTGTTAGACACTTTACATAATCGTCTCTAATTGTCATTCCAGGTTCAGTACTATTCAACTAAGTTATGTTCTATGCATCAGGTACCCAGCAAAGTCTGGTGATACCAAAGCAGTGGGAGAGTCAGACAGTGGACAATCAACCATAACAATCCTGGAACAAAGGACCCCAGAAGGAAGCAAGTTTAACTTTGCCTGAGGGCTTTAAGGTAGGGGTCCAGGAAATGTTCACTAAAGAACCACATTTGAGATTGGGGTTTCACAGGACGAGAAGGAGCAGCTCATATAGAGATGCCGCACAAGGAAAGGCACAGGTGTGAGGACCCTGGGCCCTCTGTCCCCGCCATAGGAGAGCAGAGTGTGAGGGGGATGGGGGCAGGGCCCTCAGATGGAAAGAGTGTTGGGGACAGAGGCAAGATCAGGTCCTCCAACAGCAGTGCCTTGTCCCCTTCTTTTCCTTGTGGCCACATCCTTGAGATCCTGATCTGTTTCCAGTTTCTGCAGTGGCGGCTGGGGCAAAAGAACTGGGGACCTTTATGCAAATGAGCTTTAGGGACTACTAGCCACAGCCCTTGCACTCCACTAGTTGGGGAAGTAGCAGTGACACATGTTCTTTAGGGCAAGAGAGTTTCTATTCCATTTCCTTCTAACACTGCAGTCAGTTCCCTCTAGACATTTTTCACCTCTGAAAGATTCACACAGAAGACTTGTATGGGTGTTCTGTTTTCTCTATCAATTATATATCTGCCTATTAAATATAGATAGGTTTCTCTCTCTTTGTTTAAGCAGGGAAGGATCAATGCAGGAAACTGTGAGTGAACCAGACACTCTGGAAGGAGGAAAAGCCGGAACAACCGATGGGCTCTGGTGGTCACCCTGCAACCAGAGAAGAGAGAGCCCACCGTGGTTGTCGGATGACGGGTTAGCCACGCCTGGGGAAGAGCTGACTGTGCAGCCTCCGTTCCTGTCTCCTGGGTGACAAAGCCTCCGGATGACCCTGCCAACAATAATGAGATGAAAATCAAGAGTCCTGCAGTATAATGAGAGCGATAAAAATAGAGACTTGCTTAAGTAAAGGGCCCGCGCTGCGGTGGTTGAGGAGGGGGAAGAGCCAAGCCCGGAGCTGGTGGGCGGGGCCTCCCGGCCAGACTCCCTGCTCTGTCGCTGTGACTCAAACAGGCCAAGGCTGGTTCGTAGGTGGGGTGGCAAAGACGTCAGAGAGGAATTAAAGAGTGGACCGTCGTAAACATCCTGAGCAGACTCTGCCCTGGTAACTGTGACTCTGACCTCCACAGGGGAGGGACAGGGTGTGGCCGACACATGCTGATGGGGGTTGTGACATTCCTGCCCTTAGCTTGAACCCCTTGCCTGCCAGTGAGCATCAGAAAATGCTCTAAGAATTAACGCGCGAATTTTTTTTCAAACATTGTACCTCTTGTCTCCAGTGTATAGTGGAAAAACTCTTGTTTATTCTTCCCCCTTCTTTCCCTCCCTCCTTCCTTCCTCAGTTGGTGGCTTGGAGTATCTGCCAGGAAAAGCAGCCGCTTCAGTGAAAGGAAGGAGGGATCTGGGCGCTGCAGGGACAGCTGCATGGAAACCTTTTGGTACCTCATCTCTCTACAGTCTTTTTTTTTTTTTTGTAAAAAATTAAATTAGAATTTATTTTTGATATTCAACCATGAGAAAGGAAGATATCCTCCAGTTTGTGACAACATAGATC